CGAGCTACGATCCTCTGCAGTGCTAAGCTGGGGCTCCCTTAGGCCAGCAGTGTGTGGGAAGATGGGGTTTTGTCCCCAGTAACATCTGTAGTGACTCAGAAACACTTTTAATAGAGGGCTCCTAGCTGGGTGTGATGGCGCACACCTGTAATCCCAGCACTAGCGAGGCTGAGGCAGGAGGGTCACAGTGACTTCAAGGCTAGCCTGGGCCTGGTGAGCTCAGGGCCAACCTGAACTCATAGAGAGCCTGTCTCGTTCATCATAGTGATAATGTAATAATAATAAATGGTTTCTTTGACTTTATCTATAATAAAAAGCTGCATAAGGACACATTCTACAAGGAAGTCCTGCTGCTATGGTGGGATCTTCTGACTTTGGTTTTAATCCATGTCTCAAGTGCAGCTCAGCTTTAGTCTGAATAAGGCTGAGGAAGGGACATACCAGTCCTTGTCATGCACTCTGCCCCCTTCTGACTTCCTGGTCACCATCAGACACTCGTGTCTCTCCTGCCCAGGTCACTGAGGTGGCATTGTGTGTCCAGGACCTAGAGTACAGGATGATGTCCTGTACCCCTTCAGGGAAACACTTGGGCTGGTTCAGGGGCGGAGGTGCCAAAAACAGTCTCCTGCCGCCCCGCCTCCCAGGGACGCACCTCCCGGGCCTCCTAAGCGTGTGACCTCAGCGGAGGCACAGGGGCCACCTCCTGGGCACTGCCGCCTCACACTTGGGAGGGGGTTTGCTTGGGCCCGATGTCCAGCCTCCCCTGCATAGCTCCGGTCACAGCTCTGCAAACCTCAGAGGAGCTGGCCACCGCTGATGCCAGAGCAGCATGAGCCTGGCATTTTCCCTGGAGTGTTGGAGTTGGGGGCATCTTACGCCCCGTGGAAAGGAATGGGGACACCACCCCAAGCTTGTCCCCAGCACTGCTGGAAGTTACGGGGTTCTAGAAGGACTGTGTCCCAACTGCCAGGCCTGGGCATGGTCATGCCCTGCGGTAGCGAGATAGGTGACCCCTAGTCAGTTCCTGGGCTTGTGTTTGTGACTCCTCAGGAGGGCAGAAAAGCCAAGGTGAGTGCCCCTGTCTTTGTCTCCTAGAAAAGGTATGATGCGTGGGCAGAGAAAAGGGCTTGTGAAGCAAATATGCTATGTTCTTTTGGGGTTTTCAAGACAGGGCCTCACTATGTAGCCCAGGCCAGCCTCAAACTCACGGTGATCCTCCTGCCTCAGCCTCTTGAGAGCTGGGATTACAGGCATGTGCTACAGGCATAGAAAATTAGCTACTTTTCTTTATGAAAGTACACTTTTCTAAAATGTTAGCACACAGCACTAGTCCACAAAGTGATACAAAATTCAGATTTGAGGAACTAGAAGCACATTAGCACCCTGGGTTGCCTCTCTGGACCTTCAGGTGTTGACCTTCTTACTCTTCTTCTGACCTTCCAATAGAAATCATCCCCTCTTTCCCGAGAGGCTGTCAGTGTCAGAAGGCCTTGGGCTTCCGTGGGCCTTGGGGCTCAGGTTTCTCCATGAGTTTTTCCTTCGTCAGAGGAATGAGGTCTGTGATTTTTTTATTTTAATGAGAAAATAAAATAGCAATGAGACAGCTTCAAAACAGGTTAGTAGGACACTTACAATAATTAATACATTGCATATTGTTGTCTTCATAGTGGTTATTCATAGTACAAGATGTAGACATGATATCTTGTCTAAATAATGTTAGTACAAACCTTTCTTTTCATTGAACCAAAAGTAGCTGTATATCTATCCTATTTTATGTATATATATATACGTATTTTTTTCACTACAAAATGGTCCCTTATTTATATCCCCCTTTTTGTTTTGTTTTCTGAGAAATGCCTATTCTATTGCTATTAGAGAAGCTGTATTAGAAGTCTTTAAAGGACCTTTTAATACTTGATGCCAGGGCCAGGGAGATGGCTCAGTGGAATAAGTGTTTCTGTGGCAAGCGCAAGGGCCTGAGTTCAATCCCCGGTTCCGAAAAAAAAAAAAAAAAAAAACCTTGATGCCAGTTCAAATATTATGGTACTTGAATTCAGCAAAATAACCCAATGTAGTCCAATAATCCATAATAGTTGTGGGTTATCAGCAGAACTGGAAATTGTCAGAAGTTGACTTGAGCCTTTTATAGCTCAGCATATTAATATGGTATTACTTTTTATACCTCATGGTTATACTTTTCTGCTGGATGGTTAAGCCCAAGTTAAAGGAAGACCTATATAACTAAAAATCTAACTTTTGTATCTGACAAGGTCAGTCAGATCCCCTCAGGATTTACCCAGAAACCACATACAGCACCTTGTACATCTTTTGTCAGTGTCAGCCTTCTGTATGAGTCATGGCCATTGCTTGACCAATTTGCTGTCTATGAAAGCCTGAGAGATTTTCCTTAGGCACACTATACATCGTCGATCACTTTGCTCTGTGGCCCCATAATCTCCTTGATCAGAAAATCTGGGACAGCATTTAGTTATAGGATGTCACAGCAGAGGTTCTCTTATGTCCTGAATCCTCACTGACCTTAAAAGGCTAGGGACAAAATATTGGCAATCCTTGTAGCCCCTCTATTTCTCTAATTTTTGTCTGCAAACTTTAGTTGTTGACCCTCCAGAAGAGAAGCTTAATGATATCATCACCCTGTAGCAGAGGCCGATGGGCCTCGCATCACTATCTGAATATCAAACTCCTTAGACGAAACACGGAGCTGCTATTCTGAGGTCCACGATTTAGTTTTCCTTTTCTAGACAGTGTTCTGGACTGGGATCTCTGTGCTCATGGCTTTGGTGTCTTCCCACTTTGAGGATCGGTGTCATAATGAGGAAACGTAGTTTTCCGTCTTTTGATTCCCCGCCTGGCTCCCCCCGATCCCACGTCTGGGGTGAGAAATGCCGTGGCCTTCATGCTGTCTCATCATGTGGGTCTAGTAGCACAGATAAGTGACAGAGGGAGGGAACAGGAGCGACACACACACTGGGGAATTCACTGGACTACCCCATGCTGAACAAGCAAATGACAAGCTCCTCTCCAGAGGGACAGGCCAGCACCACACAGAGCATTGCAGGGTGGCAGGAAGAGAGGGCTGCTGCCCCCACGGATCCCATGCCCAATAGGAGAAACGAACTAAGGTGTTGCGACCACAGCCAGCAGTACAGCAGGCCGGGCCGGGGTGGGGCGGTCTCACAGTGGCTACTGTCCCCGAAGATGGACAGGAAGCAGAGTCTGATGTGGATGGCAGGCTCACAGAGCCACGGGGAGTCCACGAAGGGTGATACGGTCAGTGGTTATAAGGCCCAGACCAATGGCAGCAAACCTACAGCACACGTGCCACAGCGGGCCATTTGTTATCATTGAAAGCTCCGAAGGGTTCGCCACCCCTGGCCTAGGCCCCTAGGTGACGCTGGGCTTTTGCAGTGCAAGATTCTCAGTGAGCATAATTCAGCATTTAGAAAACTCATCCTGAGGCAGATTCAGCCTTTTAGCTTGAATAGAGCGCCAGCCACTTTACACATCTCAGCAAAGCAGCAGCCCCACTGTCTGCTCAGGGAAAGTTTTTTGTTGTATTCAAAGTCAAAAATGTGTAATCCCAGCACGCACTGAGGAGGCTGAGACGGGAGGATCACTATGCGTCTGAGCTGCATACTGAGGCCCTATATCCAATCAAAAAAGAAAATCAGGAAGAAGTAATATTTATGGGTCGATCGACTCAAGTGTTTTTGTTTTTTTAACTATGCAGGCGCATCCACGGTGCCTGAGCCTCTGGCGGCCTTCAAAGTGCAGTGGTGCGGAGCATGCGTCCTGGCTCCTGCCTGTTTTATCTGTCTTTGTTCTGTATCTTAAAGCACAGCAGGAAAGCTGGACATTTTGGGGAAACGATGCAGACTTTGGGGTCTGCTAGATCGGAGCCAAGCAGTGACCCATGTTCCCTGTTCCTCCCTGCTGTTCTTCTCAGGGTAACAGAACACCTGACGCTGGGTACTTGAGGAAGGACAGGTTTACCCCTGAAATCCCAACAGTCAGGAGGCTGAGGCAGGAGGATCACTACAAATCCAAGGCCAGCCTGGGCAACATAGTGAGCTCAAGGCCAGCTTGAACTAGATAGCAAGACCCTGCCTCAAAAAAGTAAATGGAAAACAGAAAATGAAAATAAAGATCTCTCTGTTTTTCACATAGTTGTGTGAGCAGCGAGCTTCCAGCACATAAACTCTGGGGTCAAACCATACCCAAACTGCAGTGGCACCCCATGCTGCTGGGACGGATGTCTTGGAAGTGGGGGTTACGCTGCGGCCCGGCCCTCCCTTGGCCTGTGGGGCCACAGCGTGGAATTCCCTTGCAGGCCACGTCTCCCCAGGAATGACTTCGATCCTTCAGAGGCACAGTCCTGAGCTTGGGCTAGATTCTCTGTTGCAGTGGTCTCAGCCTGCTCGGCAGGCAGCATGGCTGTCCTCATGCCCCCAAAGTCCCTTCCGTCCCAGCCGCCTCTCTTGCTCAAAACCCAGAAGCCAGATCTGAGTGTCTTCATCTATGAACTCATTCTTTAAATAAGTGAAGTCTGTTAGAAGGAAAGCACACCCTTTTACATTTGCACCTTGATGAGCCCAACATTTGCTGTCCCCACACTTACCTGCTCCCAGCAAAAGCGCAGCTTCGGTACCAACCGAGGGTCCCCATCTCTCCCACCTGCCTGTGGCACCGCTTCCACGTGCTCCTTTCAGAAGGAAGCTGAGCTTTGTTATCTCATTAACAGGTGCCACTTGGGACTATGGGGTGGACACGATCAAGAACCTGGGCCCAGGAAGTGGTGTCCGCGCCATGGCGCAGCCTTCCTTTGGCACATGGGAACCCTCCACGGAGTTGACTTGAAGGGCATTTGTCCCTACGAATTACTTCGGGCCATCGGAGGCTCCACCCTCAGCTTTGGGTGGGATTCCTGCCCATAGTGGTCTCAGCCTGCTTTAAAAATGGTCTTCGGTTTCTTTTCACAGCAAACCCAAGGAGCCCGTATTCAGCACAGGTAAGTGTGACTCCATTTTTATGTGGGTGTGCCCTGCTCGTGGGAGTGGCCTTCGTAAGTGGCCCTCAACTGGACCTCAACTGGGGCAGATAGGCAGCAGCTCTCCCAGGGGCACTGGACCTCGGGAAGCAGCTTTGATGTCTGCGCCACCAGAGTGGTAGCCTGTGGTGGGGGCATGCGTCAGGTAGCAGTCCTGAGCCCTTGCCTGCCGAGCCACAGCCGACCCAGGACCCGCCAGTAGGTGGGGTAATGGGCCGCCAGGCCCACCTGCTAGCATTTCCCAGCCGGAGACTTCTGTTGTCCTTTTATTCCATCCTTACTGTCAAGGCTGCATGACCCCCAGATGCGTTTCCCCAAGGGCAAGTTTCCTGTGCATCGAGTCGTGTAACTGTCTAAAAGTAGCTTCTGTTCCTCTGCCTCTGATTTCCTAGACTGCGGAAGAGCAGTCCCTACATACCTCGCCACAGATCTGTTTGAGGCATCCCTTATGATAAGATAGACATTGTTTTCTGGGAGTAGTAGGCCTACTTAAAGTATATGTAAAATGCAAAGAAAAATTTTTACAGATGTTCGACTAGTTAAATACATTCATGGAATTACTCATTTTTCTGTCCCTTTCCCCTTGATTCTAAAGGAAGACACATGGGTGGGTTTGTCTGTCTGCCTGTGCTGGTGGCCTTCGGGGCCTGTGGAGCTGGTCCCATGTGAATGCAGCATCAGGGCCCCCGAGTGTCTGACGGCACCACGGGGGACAGGTAGCACCCGGCCTGCCCTGGCAGGTGGGCTGGTGAGCCCTGAACAGGCAGGCCGGCCACTCCTGCAGCACCCTTGTCTCTCTGTCTAGCCCTTCTGTCCCTGTCTCCGAAATCCCAAGGGAAGCGCCGGGTGACGCACTGCAAAGGTAGGCAGCATTCCGAGCTTGAGCCCATAGCTCTCTGCCCCCTCCGTGCGGACGCGGTCCCTGGAACAAAGCACTTCCACTTGCCCTGTGTGTGGAGCCCCCTGGCATTTGCATGGCTGGGCTCTGACACGTGGCTATGATTTGGATCTGGATTGATTGTTGGCTGGTAGTAGGAATTGAAACCTGTGTAAAGCGGAAGAGAGCTATCGGGCGAGCCCTGAATGTCCCACGTTTGCCATGAGTCCTGCGCTGCCGCTGGCCTCTCCCTGCTAGTGCCTTTCCGGTGGGTGATGTGCTGTTCCCCTAATGCCTGAACAAAGCACTGCTCTCCTGGCTGCATTTGGATCTTAGATACAGCATCAAGGACTGGCCTAGTAATTTCAAACTGTGCCACCTGTAATCCTCAGTCAGGATTCTGAATCAGCACAGATGGTAACACCCGAGAGCAAATGCCTCAGAAGTGTTGAGCACACGCCCACCCTCCTGGGTGGCTCTGTGTCCACGGAAATGCCGTTATGTAACCTGCAACTGCTAACCCACATTCTGTGTGTGCTCGTGCAGCACTGATTCCTACTTCAGCGATGATGGGATCGCTTCTCCTGCACTCCCAGCTCTCTCTTTGCTCTGCTTGCCCTGCTGGGGGCTTCGCAGTGTTCCTTTTCTGTCACTGTACTGTGTGACCGGTGGAGGTTTGAGTGACAGCTCAGGGGAGGAAAGCGGTTTCAGGAATGAACAGCACCAGTGAGCAGAGGCTCTGAGGCAGGACAGGGTGTCAGGAAAGGGACACCTCTTTCGGGAGAGGAGGCCCCTGGAGGGAGGCCGTGGCAGCCGGGCAGTGGAAGGTCAGCGCCTGCACGCAGTAACATCAAAGCGGATGTTGTCCTGATTCATTTTTAAATAATACTGCATGTGGCATTGTTTGAAAACCTTAGGCCCCAGACTTGCAAGGCTGACCTGCAGTTCTGCTTACGGTACTGTCGTTATTTTGTGATATTTCCCACCACCAATTCCGTTCTGCAAGTGACTGCCCTGTGGGTCATGCAGACGTCTCAGGTCCCCACCACCCAGTTAAATGCCACCGAGGGTGAGTGCTTCAGCACGCAGGAGGCAGCGGTGTGGAACCCGAGCCGAACTCATCCGGAGTGCAGCGCTTTCCCTTGCTCTTGCAACACCCTGAGAACTCTGGTCCGAGCACCCCAAGTCATTTTTCCTAAGATCCAGAGGTTGTCCCAGCTCAACAAGTTAGCGGTTTTTAATTTGCCCCTATAACTTAATCAAAGCAAGAGTTATTTTAATATAAACATTGCCTCTAGAAGGCTCTGCCTCTCAATCTGTTTTCTCGAGCCTTCTGTTCTTCCGTGTTCCGTTCCTAGCTTGTCCTGGAGCCTTGTCCTTCTGATGCCTCTGGTGCTCTTCTGTCATTCTTGCTTTTGTCCCTTTTGGAAGAATCGCCCAACGTGAAAGACACACAAAGATTTTACATTTCTACGAAACAAACCAATGGGAATATTGAAAGCTTCTTCACAAATTTTGAGATAACATATACAGTCAAGGTTTCTAAACATGAGGGGGACTTTTTGCATTAATTGTGATTTTTGGTGTGGTCCATTTTCCTTTCCTGGTGACAGAGTGTGAGTACTGAGATCTCACAGGAAGTGTTCGTCAGTGCGTGGCTCCTTCCTCCCTCTTACAATTTCTCATGCATTTCGCGAATGTAAGTCAGTAGGATTCCCAGAGCAAGCGCCACCCAGGTCCTTGTTTCAAGGCATTTAATCTTACAGCCAACGACTTATTTTCCCCTGAGGCCCTGGGCAGCAATGACATAGGGCAAAACTTTCACTTTTGCGTTGCCAGGCTAGAGAGGAATAACATCGGTCTCCTGGCATCCTGAGCACTGGGGGTCTTGCTGACATCTTTGTTCTTTTTGTAGAAGAAGGATATGTCAAAATGTTTCTTCGTGGACGCCCTGTTACCATGTACATGCCCAAAGAGCAAGTGGATTCTTACAATTTGGAGGCAAAAGTAGAACTACCAACCAAGAGGCTTAAGCTGGAATGGGTGTATCCTTTATTTAAGTGACCGGGCCTCACACCAAGGTAGCTGCTGATGAATGCTTGAACTTGCAAAATTTCATAAAGTCCTTAAGGTTTGAAAGCATTTCTTTCCCCTTACTTTCTTTTCTAAAAATGTTGCTGTTGTTGTTCGAGACAGGGTCTCACTATGTAGTCCAGGTGGCCTTGAACTCAGAGCAGTTCTCCTGCCTCAGCCTCCTGAGTTCTGGGATTATAGGTGTGTACCACCATGCCTGACTTTTTAAAATAATTTCTTTAAGTCTTCTGAAGCTTTTAAAACTCAAAACAATTTACTCTCATGTCTTAAAACATATGTTTCTACAGAGTGGCTGTGTATTAGAACACAGCACAGCGCCCTAGCCAAGGAGGAGCTAGAGGAGCTGCCAGTTATGCGCACAACCTGAGTGGAGTGTTTGTGGTTCTTACATAAACGCATGCGCATCATTTCCCTAAAAATATATTAAAAAGAGTGAAAAGCGTGGTGAGGGTATGGGTGCATTTGGGATGGGAGGGGCAGGACAAATACATCACCAGTTTATGGCCTGAGTTTTGGTCTTTCTAGAAGAATTGGTTAAAAACTCACAGAGAAGCAGGCCTAGTGAGAACAGTAACCAGTGGGGTATAGTCTAAGAGCGGAGCAAAGAGGAAAGAGCTGGCTGTCGCTAGCAGGTCCTGTCGTCCAGCCAGCTGTTCCAAGGCAGATGGAAAGGTGCAGGGTGCACGCTTATGTACAGGGAGACAGCAGTGAGCGTGAAGGAAAATACAGAGCCTACAACTGAGAACATGGAATAGCAAAAGGTGACGCTAAGCCAAGCATGTGGTACTCCCCTGTACTCCTCTAACGTGGGAGGCTGAGGCAGCAGGACCCCTGGGCGTCATAATAATGAGTGCAAGGTGAGCCTGAAATACATAATGAGTCGTGCCGCCCCCCCCCCCAGGCTGCTCTGAGACAGCGATTGAGACTGGGCGTGGTGGCACGCGCCTGTAATCCGAGCTCTTGGGAGGCTGTAAACAGGTGGATCACTGAGTCTGATCTAGTAGGGAGACCCTGAACGCCCTGTAGACCCTTCTCTAAAATACAAAAAAAGAAAGAAAAGAAATACATAATGAGACCCTGTCTCTAAACAATAGCAAAGCCAGGTGTGATGGCGCACACCTGTAATCCTAGCACTAGGGAAGCTGAGGCAGGCAGATCCTTGCAAGTTCAAGACCAGCCTGGGCTACAAAGTGAGCTCAATGCCAGCCTGAACTGTGTAGAGAAACCCTGTGTCAAAAAGTCAAAAACAAAACAAACAACGACAAAAAAAAACCAAAAATTGAAACTAAACTGTGCTGACTACAGGTTTTTATTTTTTTATTTTTTTTTTAAATTTATTTGTTTGTTTATTTATTTATTTTGTGTGTGTGCGGCCAGCTCAGCCCACCAGGGGGCGGGGCTGGCTGGCATGTGGTGCTGGGGGATTGAACCGTGGTCCCTGTGCTTTGCTTAGCTTAGCTTGTTGTAAGTGGGTGCCTTAGACCACTGAGCCATCTCACCAGCCCCCTGACTACAGGTTTTTAGACACAAAGAGACAGGGACACACTACAAGGAAGGGCTAGTTAGTGTTCTCCCTTTTAACTGAAGAACCTGGGGTGCCTCAGGAGGCCAAGTTCAATGTCATCTATAGAGAGCCCTTTCTAGTCCTCGTCTTGGTCCAGGAAGTTTATATTTGTAACCCCATGGATGAGTTATTGGAATCCCATCAAGTTAATTCCAATCTACCATATCTAGAGCAACCCATGTGAAGAATAAAGACACTAAGGCATATTTATAGTCATGGGGAGCCAAGGGGCCCTAAGTGCAGCCATGGTGATGGCTCTCCAGAACAAAGGCCTCGACCCAGGGCCAAACCCGGGTTTTATTCAGTCACGCAGGAGGAGTGGCTTGCGGATGAGTGACTGAGAATGGCAGGAAGTAGGTGAGTGCTGTGGGCCGGGCTAGAGAGGAGGCCTGCATGTACCTCTGCCATATGCACAGAGAAGGATATGCAGAAAAAGTAATCCGCATTATACTATTGAGATAGTATCTGATGTTTTGGGGTCCAGTGCTTCAGCTCTGATGTGTGATCCTTCAAGCCCCAGGAGGTCATGGCCTCTGCCTCGAGGCTGGATCCTGGATGACAGCTTGGAGCACTGGCTCTTCGTGCTGTCTCGACCCCGCTCATGTTAGAGCTGCAGGTGGGGGCTATCAGGGATACACGCATGCCATCTTTAAAGACCACCACCAGCCCCTCAGCTAGACCAATATGCACTGCTTAAAGCCAATGGAAGGTATAAGCAAAAGTCCTGCCAGCTCCGTACCTGTCAGGTACGGAGGACATACGGTCAGGCTCTGCCGAAATGGAGACGATTTCTCTTGGTTCCAGGAGAGCTGCTCAGGTGGTCCTCCACAGTCGGCACCACCAGGTAACTGAAGCAGTAACGGAGAACAATACTCAGGGGCTACACGAAGGAGTGACTGATGGCACACAGACACTGGATGTGGGGCCTAGAGATCACCCTGCTTTTCTTCAAAAGGAAATACCCCAAAATCGAGGCCACCAAAATCTGCGATCTACTCTGTAGTTAAAGTTCTCAAAGCAGCACCGACGGAGGCTGCATTGCGAAGAGGTTTGCGAAAGTGAGCTTCCGGGAAAAACAAGGAGACAGAATCTGGAGAATGGTGAATTAAATTAATAATTAAGTTAGATTGAGAACTAAATTAGATTATGGAGAATTAAGTGAAATTGAGGACTTTTTTTCTCCCATGTAGCTCAGTGATTCTGTTACTTCTTTAGAGGGAGCCTTCGGAGCCCCCCTTCCCATCTGGGTAGATTTCAACGCAAATGAGAACTCTTTCTTTGTCTTCCAACATCTGCTGAGGATCTTTTAGTGCCTGGTTTTGAGCCCCGTTACCAGACACTGCTTTAAGCAGCAGCTTCTGCATCTGCGTCTACAGGAACCCTCGTTCTGTGCGATTACACAGTGCTCGTCTTTGGACGTTTTAAATACTTGCCACCTACCTTTCTCCCCAGTATATAAGCATTCTTCTTCTGGGGTCAGAGGTCGCAGGCGTGACTGTGCCGCTGCCTGTGTGCGCAGCTGTCATCGGAGGAATCGGCTCTGTCACTAATTGCGGCTTATTAAATAGTTCAGTGAAATCTGGAAAACACATCGAAAATACATTTATTCAGAAACACATTTAGAGGCTGGATGTAGTGGCACACGCCTGCAATCCCAGCTCTTGGGAGGCTATAAACGGGTGGATCACTGCCAGTCTGATCTAGTAGAGAGACCCCACATACCTTGTAGACCCTTCCCTAAAATACAAAAAAAAAAAAAAAAAGGAAAGAAACACATTTATTAGCCAACTGGCTATCTGTATTTCAGGAAATGTATAACAGTAAAATGAGCTCCAAATAAACAGGGAGGGGCTCGCTTGCATTTTGCACACAAGTCAAACAATGTTTTTCTCTCCAGATAGTTCTCAAGGCGTGGAAGTGTGCATCCCAGCCTCTTAAACAGGAGTAATCATCCCCAGTAGGCAGGGCTAGGAGGGTCTAAGTGTATTCCCTTTGATACATATTGATGTGTCATCTACACCGTTTATGAGGACTTTTAATCAGTATTTTAAAGTTTTTTTTTTCACCTTTAGTAAAATATTTAACCTTTGAGTCACAATTTTAAAAGACTCCTAGTTGACTCTGATTTTTTAAACAAAACTCTGAATCTTTGTATAGTTAAAAACCCGGATCACGTGTCTCCTTACCTACCTGCCCGTTCCCGACTGTTGCTCGCCTTCTGGGTGAGAGCTTTTGGCCCAGGGCATTTGGAGCCTAATGTCATTGCAGCCTGAAAGTGAGGGTGAAGGCCGCACAGGGCCTGCTAGCCTGGGCCAGCAGAGCAAAGCGGGCTTTTACCTTGACCAGTGCGAAGCTATGGGTACCGGGGCCGCGACTGCCGGAATAACCTGCACCTGCTGCCCACTGGCGAGACCGTGTACTTCATCGCGTCCGTGGTGGTGCTGTTCAACGTGGAGGAGCAGCTGCAGCGGCACTACGCGGGCCACAGCGACGACGTGAAGTGGTGAGCGTCCGCCCCGGCGCCGCTGCTCCTGGCAGAGGCCACCGGCGGCAGAGCACAGAGAGCTGGTCCTGGGCCACGCATCCTGTGTGCTCGGTGCTGCCCGCTGGCTCTGCGGGCCACTTGGTGTTCAGCTGCCCCCACAGCACATCCGCCTGTGTGGCTGCCTCCCCCACACCCTGAGCTAAGGGCTTCTAAACTGCGCTGCTGGGTCTTTTATTGAGAAATGAAAAGCTCCACTCTCTTTAGGATGGGGCTGCTGGCGGCTCAGTTCCTTCAGAGCTGACGGTAGGACCGGGGAAGGTTGGGCCATGAGCACACGGATTTGGGGATTTGAATTTGCCCAGGGTCAATGATCAGGACTTTGTAATGAAGGGCATGTGGACCAATTAGTGGTTCTCAGGTGGAAGCCCGGTTTCCCTAGCACAGGAGGATTGTGCTTTTAAATTTGGAAATTCTCCATAAGGAATGAGAGGATTGAGAGGCGGTGAAATAGGGGCGAGTTATCTGAAGTGGTTGGGTGTTAGGGAACTTGTCAGGGGCTGCGAGAAGTTAGGCAACGTAGCTCCTCACTTTCACGTTCTTGGCCCGGTTGATGTGGGGATAGTCAGGCTGACCGTAGAATCCAAGCAAGCGCCTCATGCCTGTCCTTTCCCAGCCTCACAGTGCACCCGGATCGGATCACCATAGCCACCGGGCAGGTCGCCGGCACGTCCAAGGATGGAAAGGTGGGTGCCGGGGCTGTGCATGTGATGAGCGGGCTGACAGAGCTGTCCCCTGAGAACGCTGTGCTCCCTCCCAGCCTCCGGCTCGGTGTGCCGTGGCGTCCAGCTGCCTCGGAGCCACCCGCTCTTCCTTGCTGTTCCAGCATACATCTCACGTCGCAGTGGCCTTTAAAAAAGCCTCTGAGGGCATCTTAATTTCAGGAAATTTTAAAATAGTGCTGTTCTTGCCTAGGATCTCACTACATCTTAAAGTACTTCTCTCTACATGTGCTAAGCATTACAACCTGACCATACACGCCTAAGAAATACATTTATTTATTTTTTATCTTTTATGTACTTACTTATTTATTCGGTGCAGGGTTTCGATACACAGCTTGGACTGGTAGTGATCCTCCTGTCTCAGCCCCTCAGCGCTGGGATGACTGGGTGGGCCGCCATGGCCTGCTGTACCAGGATCGAGCCTGCGTCCCTGTGCTTGCCAGGCAGGCATTTAGACCACTGAGTTATCGCCTCAGCCCTAATAAGTAAATTTAAAGTCCAAATAAATAGTCACTTGAGTGGAGTTTGTCCCTGTGTGAAGGTCACACAACCAGCCAGGGTCCACACAGATTGTGAGCACTTCCATGAGACTTTAATCTGTATATATCTTAAGGAACAACAAAGGAGGCATTAGTGGAATTTAACAAGATGCACAATTCATAACCGGCTTCCAGTTCTTTTTGTACCACGATCTCGTGTTGTTTTGTCTTACTCAAAACTCCATGTAGCTTTTTAATATCTATTTTTCTGTAGCATATTGATTATATTAGTCACATTAAACATTTTCATTTTGTCAGCATTTTCCCTCAGAAAACATGAATGTCACTGAATTTGAGGAAATATTTTAATAGGAACAAATTTTATTTTTTAATTAATTTATTTATTTGGTGCAGGGTCTTGCTAGCCAGCTCAGATGCATAGTGATCCTCCTGTCTCAGCCTCCCCAGCACTGCATCTCCACACCCAGGTTCAGGGCCGGCACAGTGTGGGGTCAGCATAGCACGTGATACCAGGATTGAACCCGGGTCCTTGCCCTTGCCACGCAGGTGCTTAGAGCTCCAAGCTACCTCCCCAGCCCTAGGGAGGTAAATTTTAAATATTAACATCCTGTTTTTCATAAAATTCTACCCTTTACATGAAACAGTAAAAATAATGGGAATTGGACTGCTGTTGTGTAAATTCACATAAGTAGAACAAGTAAGTGTTCACCTTTTATAAAATGCTACATGACTATGAAATTGTCTTTAAAATTAGTCTGAGTCATTTGTTCGGCCTCTAGTGACTTTAACATGTATTTTAGACTCCTTTAATCCAGCACTTGGGGAGGCTGAGACGAGAGGATCACAAGTTCGAGCCCAGCCTGGGAAATTAGTGGATCCCTGCGAGCTGGAGATGTGCCTCCGTGCAAAGGTCTTGGGTTCATTCCCTGTGGCTGGGTGCCCAGCTACCTAGAGACTCAGCTGAACTTGGCTTACCCAGGGCCTTCTCTTTGCTTGGTGATCAGATGCTTTCTTCTATAAGGAAGAGAAAATTAGTAAAACTAACCCACAACACAGTTGGAAAAAGATTTTGAACAAATTGAGACAATCCTAAACTGTGCTTGTGCATAGTTCAGCTGTCTTTTGTGTTCCTGCGGACCGAGGAGTGTCAGGCTCTTCCTACGATCTGGCGGTGTCCACTTGGATAAGCTTGGGCCTGCAGACACTTTGGACCCAAACGGACTTGAAAAGAATAGAAGCCATTTTTCATGTCAGTGTTCAGTTCTAACATCTGGAAGTCAGGATCACAGCTGGATGCCCGGAGCAGGCTGGTTAAGACGTGGTGGGCGTCTCCTAGGAGTTCAGGTGGCTCCATGGCTCCAGCCCCCCAGAGCCACTGGGACTATCTCCTTTACTTCAGGAGACAGGCTCCTCCTTGGGGAAGAGACCTTTGTTTTGCCAGGATTCAAGTTACTGCCCAAGTAATCATGTAGCTTTGAGCTAGAGGGGAATTCGTAAACCACCACAATTGATGGCTGTTTTTTTTCAAAACAGCAATTACTCCCCCATGTGCGCATCTGGGATTCTGTGACATTGAACACACTGCATGTCATCGGGAAAGGCTTTTTCGACCGGGCTGTCACCTGTATTGCATTTTCAAAATCCGTAAGTATGAGCTGGGCAGGTGCCACAGCCTAGGAGGGCAGTGGGGAGAAAGCTCCCCACCCGGGTGGATGTAGAGCTCTCACCCTGGATCCACCCCGCTTCCTGGTCCCTCCATCTGGGACGTGCACTTCCGGAGATGTCTCCAGTCTCACGGGTATGGTGAAGGAAAGGGCCACCCCACGTCCCCAAGCTGCCGGCTGTCTTGCTGCTCCGAGCCTGTGCCTGCAGTGACCTTGAATGCCACTCGCACGGCAGGCAGGTCTCTGCATCCTGACCCAGGCTAGCTGCCTGCAGTCTACACACAGGCGGGTTGGGGGTGCCTCATGTTCCCAAAGGCTCTCAACAGTTCCATGCTCACAGTCCATTAAGCCGTGTCTCATCCAGTTCAGAAACTGCATTCACACGCCCATGCACAGGCTCACACGCACCCCGTGCCTGTGCTCAGCCCAGCCCCTGGGCCCTGCTCCCTGTGGTCCTGCAGAACCTCCCTGCAGCAGCGGTGTCCATGGCTGGCAACAGAGCCCTAGGCCGGGCCTGCCTGGGGCACGGTCCTCAAGAACAGAGACACTGAGCTCCTGGTTTCCCTGGAACCTGGCAGCAAAGAGCCTTGCCATCCCCTGGTGACCACATGCGCCCCTGTTGTCCCCGTTGGCCCAGCAGTCAGGCCAGTGATCTTCACAATGTGGCGGATTCTGCTAAAAATGAGGTGCATGTTCATTTGAGTCATGCCTGACCCGTTTTACTCTCAAACGTAGTCTTCCTGTGGACACCTTTCTCTTTCAGAATGGAGGGAGCTACCTCTGTGCTGTGGACGACTCCAATGACCACGTGCTGTCCGTGTGGGACTGGCAGAAGGAGGAGAGGCTGGCCGATGTGAAGGTCTCGCCCAAGCCCGTGCTGTCACCCCCTCTCTGTGGGGCCTTCTCCCAGCAGGCTCAGAGCCCCATCCTAGGGTGACCCCTTCACCTCGGGGTCTTTCAGGCGCCCCCGCCCCGCCCCACAGAGCTGCTCCCGAGTCCTCCTGTCTCCACAGTACGGTTCCTGCCTGCCTCGCCTGCTGCCCTTTCGTGCACACATGCACCTGCTCACTTTCTCCTCCACCATTCAGGGCCTGCCCCTTAGCTCAGCTCTGTAAGTGGCTGCTTCAACAAGGCAGTCAGGCTCAGGTTGCTGTGGTTCCATCCCCACAACTCAAGCCAGCCCTGAAGGCATTCGGAGAAAAAAAAATCCTCCACCATTCAAATACCCAGCGCCCTCCTTGTCCTGGCACTGTGCAGTGGACAGCACCCTGCAGGTGGTACCTATACCCTGAGGCACGAGGGGTCACTGCCACCATCTCCTTCAGCCTCCTCTCCCCGCCATGGCCCCTTTTGTGAAGTTTGTCATCTGCAAAGCTGGCTCCTGAAGCATTCTTATGTCTTTCTCCCATTGATGTTGTCACTGGATTCCTATTTTTGTAGAATCAGCTCCAGATTTCTCTCAACATTAGACATGCCCTCAGATCACCTTAAGTGAGAATTGCCACCAGGTGAGGCTGCCCGCCTACCCACCATCCTACGCCGAGCAGCTTTCTCTAGCGTGGGCCGAATCTATATTTCCTGTCATGCGGTAGCCCTGCCTTCTCACGTCCTGGGCAGGACGTGAGGTGTCCTCACTAGACTGCAAGGTTGGAAGTAATCAAAGACAAGCTATTTCCCAGGCTTGAAGGCAGAAGTGAATTATACTAGAAGGACACTTGGGGCCAGAGTCAGCAGGCCAGAGTGCAGGTCCTGGAGGCCAGGTTGAGAGGTCACACAGCAGCTGGTGCAGCGCCAGCGCGGGCATAGGAGCTCTCAGGAGAGCTGCGCTGGAGCACCTGCCAGGTGACTGCGATGCGCAGGGAGCCCAGCACTCCAAGTCCAGCGTGAACCTGGGGTCCCAAAGTCCCCATGGGCCCTTGGAGGCTGCTTTCATAGAGCACACAGATGGCCCACTCTGGGCTTCCTGTCTAAGGGGCTCATGGCCCCCAGCACAGACAGCGAGGGGAAGCTGAGATCTGTGACCAGAGGTCAGTCAGTGGGGGAAAATCAAGAGGCCTGGTGACTGGCTTGAGTGAACTTTTGATCTGTGATTCCGAGTTTATCTGTCTTCCTAAGTGTCCTAAGAGAGTTGAGGCATTTGGGTCTTCTGTTTGTCTTAGTGTTCTAACGAAGCAGTGTTCGCCGCGGACTTCCACCCCACGGACACCAGCATCATAGTTACCTGCGGAAAATCCCATCTCTACTTTTGGACACTAGAAGGAAGCTCCCTTATTAAGAAGCAAGGATTGTTTGAGGTAAAATCAAAGTCCGTTTTTCTTTCCTCTTCCCGGGAGACACAGTGGTCTGCTGGGCATTGAGGGAGCATTGCCGTCCCCTGTCTTAGCAGTCGTTCTAGTGGGGGAGGCAGAGGCCGAGTCACCCCGGGTCCCTCACACAGTCAGGAGGGCAGAGCCTGCCTGCTGCAACTCGGACCACCCACCTGTCTGCAGGGCGGCAGGGACACCGTGTCCCTTCCTTCATTCTGGTGTGGGGCTCTGTTTAATCTGCAGTCTCAACACTCCCGCACCCCCTGTTCCCTTCCGCACCTCTCTGAACTGTCTGCAGCTGTGGCACTCCTCAGCCCACTTGGAATTAGCAGAAACTTCTTTCTTTTAGTGCAGTGAGTCTCGTGGTGTAAGTTATAGAACAGCAGATAAAAGCGAAAGGCAGAAGCTGACGCGATCCCCACTTTGACTGCAATCCTGCCCGCTCTCAGTACGAATAGAACACCTTGATTAACTATGTCTGTATGTACTACATTCTGCAGAAACAAGAAAAGCCAAAGTTTGTCCTCTGTGTGACTTTTTCTGAAAACGGTGACACCATTACGGGAGATTCAAGTGGGAACATCTTAGTGTGGGGAAAAGGTAAGAAGTCATTGCTCGCTAAGCCAGTGATTTTGGGAATGTGATACCAAAGGTAACTTCTGAAGAATTATCTCTTGATATAATTTACAAGATTGCTGTTAGATCTCAAGGTGTGCATGCGTATGTAACTTGAAACCATGAAGCCAGAATGGAAGGGGCCGCGGGTAGCCCAGTAGCACAAGCACCTGCCTGGTAAGTGCAAGGTGGCTGGGTTTGATTCCTAGTTTAAGAAACCTAGACTGGAAGAAAACTGATGAATAGTGAATTACTGACTGCGAGTTCTGAGAGTCCTCTTCCATGAGCGTGATCAGGAGTGTGGTGAAGCTGCTGCCAAGCACCATCAGTGGACGTTGAGGCTCCTAGAGACAGGACACTGTGTCCTTGTCCACCTCTCTCACCAGAGCTGGCGCCGTGCCACTCACTGCAGGGGCTTTCCCAAAGTCAGGACAACCATGAAAGGTCAATGGGTTTTCTGGTTTGTTCAGGGTTTTTTTTTTGTTTTTGTTTTTGTTTTTATGTACTTGGTACAGGTCTCACTTTTATGTATTTGGTACAGCTCAGACTCGTAGCGATCCTCCTATTTGCAGCCCTCGCAACTCGTGGATTACAGGCGCACGTCACCACGCCTGGTCTCAGTGGCTGACTCAGCGCTTGGGGTGGGGCCAGCGTGGCATGTGGTGCCGGGGATTGAACCCCATCCCTGCACTTGCCTAAGCAGGCACTTAGTTCGCTGAGCTATCTCGCCGACCCTAAGGTCAGTGTTTTGAATCAAGGACATCAAGGCAGCTCTGACAGCACGGCTAAAGACACTCAGGAAAGAGGACCTCAGACCTGCTGCAGAAAGTGGCAAAAGCAGCGGCATAAATGTGCTCAAAGCAAAGAAGAGGGTGTTCAGGGGAACTAATAGCAATGTGTCTTTTTAATAAATTTTTAAAATTTAAGCATCACCATATTTTTTAATCACACCTCGTATATCATCCTAAAAGACTCTGTGAAGCCAGGATATTACGATGGAGCTAATAACTTTATTATGAGCTCTATTGACAAATGAAGACGAGTAATTAATGACTCAATAGCCTTAAAACACGTAAGTGGTTTCCCATGCACAGAGCCCTTGGCAGGTACTTACTGACTTAATTACATAGACTAGAGTCTCGCCACTGAGTCAGGTACAAGGCCCTCTGTTGGTGAGCAGTTTGGGGGATCCACTGGGGGAACACCTGCTCAGTGCAGGCCAGGTACGTCCTGCAGGACGAGTGCCAGGGCAGCACAGCGTCTCTATCCATGAAGGTCTCAGACCTCAGGTTGGGGTGCAGGTGTGATACCATGATACTAAGGTGACTCTTGTAGCACCTCAGCCACCCTTGGTCACTTGATCCTTGGGTCAGTGTGATGAGCTAGGCCATGCATTAATGATGGTGGTCTCCCTGCATGTTTAGGTACCAACCGAATAAGCTATGCAGTTCAAGGGGCCCACGAGGGTGGCATTTTTGCACTTTGTATGTTAAGAGATGGCACACTGGTGTCGGGAGGAGGGAAGGACCGGAAACTCATCTCTTGGAACGGAAACTATCAAAAGCTTCATAAAACCGAGGTAAGTTGGCAAGGACCAGGACAGAATCTGTTCTGAACCCTAGGCTTCCATCCTAGCTGGTTTCCATGTTCACTTGGAATCTTTGGCTTAGGGCTTTGAAAATGGATAAGATAAAATTAGACAGGGCAGCATATTTTATTAAAATCATAGAGGCAGTTTTCAGCTAAAATGAAGTTGGCTATAAAGTCTGAGGACATAATACACTGCAGATGCGGAATGCCTTTATAAGAGAACCAGTCTTAATTGCTTTCAGGGGAAATTTTAACATTTCCAGGGGACTGTTACCTGCATTTTAATTGACTGTTAGATTTCCTCTCCCTAGTTTACTATGCATTACCTTGCAGACGTTCTCGCCTTGAATTAAGTTTTATTATGTTTATACTTTCTGCCTGGATCTCAGCAAGAGCCAGTCTCCAGCACCCCTCCTTCCCTTGTGAGCAGCCCTGCCTTTTGACAGGAGCCAGTTGTATTCCTCAAATTTTTGTCAGAAAAAAAGAGCTGCTTATAAAAACAACAGAACTGGTGCTGACTCTTTAAAGATATGCAAAATGTCAGTGGTTTAAAAAGTTATCAAAAACTTCATAAAAAGTTAAAGAGTTATAGACAGCCTTTGCCTAGTGTGTGTAGGACCCCGAGTTTTCTCCTGCCCTGAAGGAAGAAAAGAAGTTTTGGGGTTCAGATCATTCACTAACAGCTGGCTCTGGTGTCTCTCTAGTTGTATTTGTGTGTGTGTGTGTGTGTGTGTGTGTGTGTGTGTGTGTGTACATGCATATGAGTATCTCAGTGTGTGTTTTATTGAGAATTGAACCCAGGGCCTCACATGTTATGCAAGCACTTTATCACTGAACCGCATCTCTGGCCCGCTTTGAGAGGGGACAGCATTTCCTAAGTTGGCTAGGCTGACTCAAACTTACCACTTTCCTGCCTCAGACTCCCCAGAAACAAGTTCCTTGATAACTGAAGAAGACCCTGTCACAAAATAAAAGACAGGTACCAGAACAAAAGCTTAGTGCCACCAAGCCCAGCTCTGTGTGTGTGTGTGTGTGTGTGTGTGTGTGATGGAGCTATCATGCAATATGTGAACAACTAAATTGAATACTTGAGCTCGCGATCTAATGGACCGTCATGTGCTTCTTTTCTGTGACTCCTTCCCATGCAGATTCCCGAACAATTTGGCCCCATACGGACAGTGGCTGAAGGCAAAGGCGATGTCATCTTAATAGGCACAACAAGAAACTTCATCCTGCAGGGCACCCTGTCGGGGGACTTCGCACCCATCACTCAGGTATGCTGCAGCTCGGCCACATACTTTTACTCTGCTTTGGGGAGGATGTCGCCCGGGGCTCACGCTGTGGTCCACACTGGGTGACTTTCTGACTCCAGGGCTGCTGCAGTGGCTGTGTGAGTTAGGCTGGGTAGGACCCAGAACAAGGAGCAGAGCTTGGTCCCCGGTGTTGGCTGTGGGGTCTCAGGGAGCCCCTGTGTCATGGTTCTTTGTAGGGTCACACAGACGAACTCTGGGGGCTGGCTGTCCATGCCTCCAAGCCTCAGTTCCTAACCTGTGGGCATGACAAGCATGCCACCCTCTGGGATGCCGTCGGTCACCGGCCTATTTGGGACAAAATCATAGAGGTAAATGTGCATGCAACATTTTCAGTTCCCTTGTAGAAATTCATCGGAAACAACTGTGTTTATTTTCTTTGCGGCATTAAAAGTGACATGAAGCTGCCTCCAACCCAACAGCATCTGATTTCCTCTTAGATTCACACAGCTTTGTCATTGCTGTGAGTGGCCTCAGCTGGGGGAACTGAGGTTTACTGTGGAAGTTCCCGAACCCAAGCTGGCTGTCAGGGTTCCCAAGTGTAGTCTTCTGGCTGGCTTGAGTCCTAAAAATGCTTGTTAGAACCGAGGAGCTTGCGTGCTATCACAGGCCACCACTTGGATGAGAGTTTGTCAACAGTACGCACTGACAACTTGGAGGCCAAACAGGAACGGATGTCCTTGTCCTGCAGGCTGAGCCCTGTGTTGTGCTTTTGCTCTGATTTTACTATGAGGAGGTTGAGGTCTAAGTAGGTTAAATAACATGACAGGAACACTCAGTGGCTGGCAGAGACCGAAGTGACACACATCTCAGCTCGACTCCCAAACCCAGACTATGTGACTCACAGTGGATCAAGGCCACTGGTCCCCCACTGACATGTAGGGCTCCTTGGAGAGCCAAACATCACGCTTGGTCCCCCAAAGTTGCTTGCATTTTCCGGGCACTGGGCTGAGGCATCCATCCTGCCCGCTGGCCCTGGACCTTTGGACAGGGTTTCTTCTGCCCCAAACTCTGAGCACTCAGATGAGTCAATATACAGATTCGCTTGGTGAACGGTAACCAACGCAGGCCTGGGCATGGCCGCTCCTCCTCCCAGTGGGGCAGTGAGTTGACGTCCTCCGACACCTCTGTGTGTTCAGCTTCTCTGATAGCTTCCCTGTGCTCCTCCGTCCCATCCCCCTTCGATGGGCTCTTCCCCAGGCTCTGCACTGAGCACAGGGCCCGCCGGAGGCCAGGCATGCAGGGGTCCAGGCGAGTAGACCACAGCTTGGGCTGAGAGCTTGGACCTGTGTGTCTTTCGTCTGATGGCTAGAGACATGAGGCATAAGACGGAGAGAAAAGACCCAGAAAGGATCAGGATTTAGTGTCCTTGGAGTGTGACATGTGTCCAAGCAGGAAAACACCCTCCTCTCTGGAGAGAAGAAAGACTTTCAGGGGGCCGCATAGCCCAGGGTGAAGGGCAGTGCGGGTGGGTTGTGTGCGGTAGTGTTGACCTGGTCATCAATTTACACTTCCTTTACAATGTTTTAGGACCCAGCTCAGTCTTCTGGTTTTCATCCTTCAGGGTCTGTGGTTGCAGTCGGAACACTCACGGGGAGGTAAGCGGTCTAGCGAGGCCCGGGCTCTCGGAGCTATGTCTAGGAGCGTGCTGTGTTTCCCTAGGGACAGGTGCAGGGTGGCTGGTAGCCCATCTTCCTGCCCCAGTGCGGCACCAAGACTAGGTCAGAATGCGACCTTACACAGACGTCCTTCCTAGTCTGAACATGGGGGAAATGTTAGAAAAGTGTGGACCTTTTCTCCTACAGTGAAAATGCCCCTCCCCAAGTCCCCCACTGGCCATCTGCCCCCAGCTTCAGGGCCTCAAGAACCCCTGCAGGGGCTGCTGGGTGGGAGAAGCCTCGTTCCCAAGCCCAGACTGAAGCTGCCTGTGCAGCTGCCCTTTGCCAAGGCCCGCCTCTGTCCAGGCTCAACCGGTGCGTGTTTACCTAACCTCCAGTGAACTAGGCCGGGAGCCCACGCTTGAGCCCCAGCCTTGCTGCTTGGCAGTGGGGTCTCGGAGCCACCCACATAAGCCCTGAACATGTTTCTTTTTCTGTGAGTTATGGTAATATTGTCTGTGGCACAGATGATTGAAGGAGGCACCTGCCGGGGCTGCCTGGCAGGCAGTAGCGGGGGTTAGAATTGGCACGGCTTAATTGTACCCTGATGCTGCTTGTCACAGAGCAGTAGGCTTTCTTGCCCTCGGGGTCACTCTAAGTCCCCCTTGTGGGTGGCATGCATCCCATATATACCATTTCTCCTCTCTATGTACAGAAGCAATACATACCTGGGACATACCTCAGATATACACGTATATACATATATATCCGTATATCCCACATACCTGGGACAGAGCCTCGCTCACAAATCAGGCATGTAAGAGTGTGAGCCATAGCCAATAATAGAACACTTCTACAGTAAACTGTAGCAGAAGTTGTATGCCTGTGGTCTCTCTTTGAAAACACTTGCCTGTCCTAAGCTCCCTTCCCTGTCCTGTGACAAGGTGAGACGACACCACGCCTGCTCGGTGAGATCCAGAGAGGCCAAGGTGCACTTGGAGTGTGCACAACTAGAATGTGCACGCTGCCTGTCTGGGGGACCGTCCAAGTGGTGTGTGTCGGCCAAGGCTGACCCTGGGGAGCTCAGACCGTGGAGAAGGGGGCTGCTCACGTGCGCTTGCTGCCACTGCATTCCAAAGGTGCCGCCCGGTGCTCATCCTTTCCCTCCAAGAAGTGCAGCCCTGGGCTCTGTGGCAGCCACCACAGCAGAGCTGAGGGCGAGCAGCAGTGCCTATCAGAGTCCACGCCACACGCAGTCCAGGCACAATCCACACACGTTCTACATGCACTGCGCACGCACTCACTCCACGCTCACTCCACACGCGTTCTACATGCATTTGACACACTCCACATATACACCATACACACTCCACATGCACTCCACACATACCACGTGCACCCCCACACACCACACACGCTCCACATGCACCACACATACACCACACATGCTCCACACATGCCACATATACATCACATGCAGACAACACACACTGCACACATACATACCACATACATTCCGCACATACCACATGTACTCCACACACACCACATGCACTCTACATGCACTCCATACAAACCACAATACCACATATATACTACATGCAGACCACATGCACTCCACACACACCATGCACACCACACACACCACACACACTCCACACACACCATACACACTCTACACACATTCCACACACTCCACACACACCACATGCAGACCACATGCACTCCACGCACACCACACACATTACACATGCACTCCACACACATCATGCACTCCACACACATCATGCATTCCATGCACACCACACACACTCTACACACACTCCACACATACTCCATGCAGACCACATGCACTCTACCCACACCACACGCAGACCACATACACTCCACACACACCACACACACTGCACACACACTCCACACACATCATGCACTCCACATACACTCTACACGTACTCCACACACACCACATGCAGACCACATGCACTCCACACACACCACATGCAGACCACATGCACTCCACACGCAAACCACACATACTCCACACACACTCCACACACACTCTACACACACTCCACATACACCACACACTCCACATGCATTCCACACACACCATGCACTCCACACACACCACATACACTCCACAC